TGCCATCCCTGTCATTATACACCGCATGTATCCACATTATGCAGCATTCACTCACTATTCCACTGGTCAATGCCAAGAATCACATTTGTTAGACCTCAAAGATATGCATTTGCTAATATGCAAATACTTTGTTGAGTAACACTGAATGTAAACATAACTTTTGTTTGTTTACAAGAAAGTTTATCTGTGATTAATTTTGATTATCTTTCACATAGGGCGGGGCGATATGGCCAACAAAGTTATCATGAAAGAGAATTTCATATTATTCGATATTGATAATTATCTCGATAAATGTGAAAAGTCACTCAGGAGCTAAAAAAAGCCTTTAATCTTGGTTGGTAAATTGTAGTTTTAAACTATTCTTTGTGGTCAGAACATGACAAACACTTGCCAAACACTGGATGATTTCACAAATCTGATGTAGAACATTCAAAACAATTATGATAAAATCTTTTTTTCAACAAATATGCATGAATAAGTAAAACATTTTTTCAGTCCCTTTTGCTCAACAAAATAAATAAAAATAGAAAAATTAAGTGCAAATTTGAGATTCAAATTAATTAAATTAACATTGCCCAGCCCTACTTGCACACCGAACAAACTAAAAATGCTTCAAAATTGGTGTAATTTTTCCCTTTAGAAACTACAACCACAAAGCAAATGTGAAGTTAAAACTGCACAGAAAAGCAGATTCACAGATAAAGAGTATATATATAGTTTGTACTTCAGTGCGCTCTAAACGTTCTGCATTTTTTACTTGCTATGGGGCCAGCGGGGAGTTTGTGGTGGACCACCCCAGTAGGGTGGGGTTTTTAACCACATGGCTGGTAACATGAGCATCGAGGCATATGCTAAACTAGGAGGCTGTAGGCCTAGCAACTGCAAACAAATGCTTTACCGGGCTCATATGTCTCCAATACTCACTTCTAAAACAGAAAGTCTGTCTTCCTGTCTTTCATGGCTTTCTGTCCCTGCTCCTTTATCTTTCTCTTGGTCACTCACCCATTGTGTGTACTCAAAATCCACAGCTGCTACTAAACGAAGGGACTGCACTCTTCTGTTGTCAAGTGGGGTAAATATAGGTTTCCATGGGTACGCCATGACACCCAAGGGGTATTCTGACTAGGTAGTGGGGCGCTGTGTGTGTGGGTGTGAGGGGAGTGGCTGATGGTCCAGGATGTGTATCATTCACACTGTGTCCAATGCACAACAGGAGGTTAAAAGTCAAGTGTGCATGCAGGCAAGTGTGGCATGTGTGTGAGCTTATGGGCAGGGTGTGTGGCACTCAGGGATAAAACATGCACACTTGTTTCTACTCTTCACTGATCTGTCTCCCAAATAATATTCCATGATTTGAAGACTCATTCAGGAATAAGACAGAATGGAGCTGTAATATACTGTAATATACTTTTACAGTACTACAACTAAAGGTTATTTAGGTCTTTTGGTATTTAGTGACTGGCTTAAGGGTGGGTGGGGTCCGAGGTCAGGAATGGAACCACCATCATTACCAACCCCCGCTACCAAATGAGCTACTCCTTTTTTTATTCTCAAACTATCTTTGAAGTCATCAACTGGGAATGAAACATTGCCTTGTCAAGCTATATAAACATGAATGTGCTTCTTCAATTCAATCTAGCTTTATTGGCATGCAAAACAACAATAAAACTACAAATAAATTACAAAAGAACAATTTATTTTATACAGTTTACATGTATACAGCTTCTTCAAGCAGATGCAGGTATTGTAGCTGCTCAGCAGAGCACCACGAGGTTCTACAAAGTTTCAGTAATTTAAAACAGACCTGCTTTGAATATAGCTAGACATATGTTTGATAGGACAGATTAGATCTGAAACTTCTAGCATTTAGAAAAGGTTAGGCAATTTTGTGTGTATGTGTGTGTTGAAGACAGCCAGCCAGCAAGTGTTTTAACTTGTCAAAAGAAAGATCTTGTAGGACAGTTGAAATATTGTCTTATACAGTGTTTATGTTACTCAAATAAACAATGTCACTGGTGACGTTTATTTTTACATCAATTATATGTCATACAGTTTTGGTTTCATCCATTGTTTATATTCTCAGAATGCAAGTTTTTCATAGTGAATGTAGGGCAGTCAGCGCTGTGATTTGGGCCAATTAATCTAATCTAAATTCCCAGTTGGATGTCTTCATTAGAAGATAGTGGCTCATTGTTTCGGTGATCCTATTGTCTGACACTAAACAGACTCTCATCTGATGGGATGTCCATGTCTCAGGCACACGTCTGTCTATCTGTCTCTCCAACTGACTTACTGACTTCATGAATGTTTGTGGCTCTGCCTGCTGCCTTAAAGCGTAGTTTCATTTATTCACTTGCACAGCAGACTTTGTTGTTTTAAAGTAGGCCAGTCTGTCTGTCTTTCTCATGCAGTCGTATTTGTAGCATTCTGTACCACTGCATTGCTGGTATCAGTAGCAGACTGACTGATCCTTTTATTATATAGGAATTGCTGACTGAAAGAAGAGAGTAAAATACCATAGACATACAATCATTTGAAAGTGGCAGGAAATAGTTTTCAACTAAAAAACAGACCACTTGTAAATGGAATTTGTTTTGGTGGCGTTGGTGCTGACAGAGCACAGTTCAGAGCATAAAATAATATATTCCGTTATTTTTATTGGTTATTTTTAAGATCTTCCAGAGTGGGACATTTTTAGGCCATGTTTCCATGGCTGGGATTAATACAGTCACTGACAGTTCCTTCTTTCCTCAGCAAAGAAACTTAGGTAGTCTCTAGTGTGTCTGAGCTGTGTAATGTAATTTAACTTCTCAAGTAACAACAGAAATCTGACTCTGACGTTCATGTATTTGCATTGCATACATATCGCCAAACCTGTCATTTGAACAGAATTTAATTTTTGCTTACATCTTTATGACACCTTTTCCATTTCTCTCCGGGACAGTGCTGAATTTGTGCAGTTAGCATAGTTTTTTTTATTTTCATTCTGTCCCGTATTCACACTGATCTATAACAACCACACACATGAACACACAAACTGAGTCGTACTCACACACAGACTTGATTTATCCTAACAAGGAGTGAGCATGGTTGTATTTGGGTCAGGGAGGAGGTAGCCTGACGTTCACACACACACTGTAAATGCACTTCCATACACACAGACGTGCAGACAGTGAGACTAATCCGTTAAAGAGGCTAGCACACAGACCGCAAAATAGGGTGACTGGTAGGCTGTGTATAGGCCCACGTGTTACATCATTACTTACTATTCACTGAGAACAAAGGTAAGGTTATAACAGTTTTTAAATATAAATAGCTCATTTAAATATTACAGATACCTTTCTTTTGCTGTCATTAAAGGCCATGTTGACAAGAACCAAAAGTTCCTAGTAGTAAGCTAAAACACTTGTATGTCTGTTTGGATTAAGACAACATCAAAGTCTGACCAGCTAGAATGTATTACTGACTTAAAGAAACACAACACCGTTGGGTGATGATTGACCTGCACTTGATGCCATTAAGAATGATATCATATACACCTGATTCAGACATGTGTCATTGTTTGATTATTGCTCCACAATCGACACATGGCACATTCTATGTTCAGTCATAGATGGCAACCAGCATTATCGCAAAAGTGCACCATGCACTGACTTGTAGGAGCTAAAATACTAAACTGTAAATCTGGTATCCATTATACTTTTTAGAAATATTCCTTTTAATATATCAATCTTTATGATTGAGTATCATAAACTACAAAATTGTCTCCTGACACATTGAGTATTAAGTTTAAGTTAATGTAAATGAGAGAGTCCAGCTTTTGAGAAATGTTGATTGGCCTGTCAGTTTGTGATTTCCTGTTTGAAGATACAAAACATTTTACCATATCTATACTGTAGTTTTATAGCTTATGGCTTTATATATTCAGCTGCTTTCCACATTGTTGTTACATTATTATATTTCAGTGTTTACATGAGATGCCGGATGAATTACCTACTGTGGAGACTTGATTGTAGTATATTTAGTACTTGATGATTTTAGTATATGCTCCCATCAAATAAGCGAACGAACTGACTTGTCTTTGTTGTATTATATTTGTGGACTCACGTGTTGTCCTGGAGGATTTTAACATATGAGTCTAAAGCACCTTTGGTAGTTTGATTTAAATTTAGCATTTATTTGTATTAGAGTCTTATTTTTTAAACGTTTGGTAACATTCATTTGAGTGGCATAAACAGCTCAAGCCAGAACAGATTTAACAGAGGATAGTGAAATAAAAATATCCTTGTTAATGTTGTTTGGTCAAGTGAAAATAAGTGAGTGGATCTGAAAGATCCATTAGTAACCTTGTGTGTGTGTTGGAGCCCATTTGTAACTCAGTCCCTGTAGCAGTGCAGCACTACTTTCCCCTGCTGGAGCACAGGGTTTCCTTGCCCTACGTTCCTTGCTTCTTCTATACTCTCTCACCCTTTCTCTCTCTGTTTACGCTTGCTCATTCTAACTCTGTGGGAGACGAGGCTTTTCCTAAAGGAGTCTTTGTGTGTGTTAGAGAGAGGGTGAGAGAGAGGGAGAGTGAAATGTTATGGTGAGACAAACAGCAAGAGAGAGGGAGAGGAGGATACTAGCTGACTGTGTTAAGCCTGGCCGGGGCCCAGTTCCACAGTTCCACAGAGCCCAGATCTGTTTACCTTCGAAAACACAGACTCACCAGAAAATTACCAAAATCTCGTACATTTACAAAAACATAAAAACACATATGTTTTTAAATGCATATTTAGACAGAGCACCATGCAGTTAGTGAATTGAAATTATCTACACCACAGATTATGCTCAATGCTGTCAAACCCTTAAGTATAGTCTGTCAGTCCCATGATGTATCCGCTGAAAAGCACTTTCTGCATTACACAATGAGTCAATGACACTGTGGGGCTTGTGGGTGAGAGTTAGTTGATATCAGACGTAGCCGTTAATGGTTAACTGTAGCCAGGTTAGAGTCCGCTCACTGTGTTCCCAGGCATTCTTCCTTCACTCTGCTCTCCTAGCCTTTACACTGGGAAGGAGTACCTAGAAAGGATACTGGATTATACACCACTTGATACACATACACATTCACTCCGAGAGTGTGCCTAATCCTTGGAACTGGATTTATAAACAGTCTGATATATAATACTTTTGGAACACTTAATCATCACAAGGATTGTTTTTGATGTGAGTGGCATGTTTTTTTTGTTTCTTAATTTTTTATCTAACGCTAATATTTGTGCTGTGAAGACAGAGAGGGAGTGTGCGTGCTGAAATGTGTGATATAGAACAGCTATTTGTCATTGTTAGCAGAATGAAGTGTTTGTTTTCTGTCTAATCAGCTGTCCCTGTCCGGCTAAGTACAGTTTATGTTGAGCCGAGGTCAAATGTGCAAAGAGCAGCATCTCGTCGCCAGCATGTTATTGACATCTGCCACATCGCCACCCACATGAGCTGTTTTGTGAGTGTAGTTTTTTTTATGGTTTTCATAGAGCTATTGTCAACACTCTAAATTATGCATGGTGTGTACCTGAGCCAACCAAAAACCTTATGACCCTCTAAATATTGCGGCTTTGAACAGTTTTTGGTGCTACACAAAAGTTTATACTTTTTTGTATGACTGAGTTTGTGTTTAAAAACACTGCCTAGGCCTGGAATATTATCGTTTATTTAATCATTTTGAAAGCAGATATTGGTTATGTGACATTAGAGTATTTTGAAAAGTGAGTAAGAGTGATTAAAGACAGGGTGTTATTATAAATGATTAAATAATTATTCATATTATTGTCAGGAACAGATGGAATAAGCAGCTGCTTACAGCTAGATCATATTGACAAGCAAAAGGGTCATCTTAGCATATCTGTTGACAGTTGTGTGATCTTAATGAAGAGAGAGACTGTGTCACAAACAGAAAGACAGAAAAAAGTGATTGGTATTCAGGCTGCTCCTGAGGTCATGGTAGTGGGTTGTGTTCATTAGGTTGTTATGCTGTGTAACCAAGACTGGACTCAAGAAAAACAAAAATGACTCATTAGGAACCAAAATGATCTTTATGATTTATTTGTTTCAATAGGAGTCAGAATGGGAAAACATTGCATCAAATGAAAAGGGCGTTTTGCTTAAGAATCAATACACTGTTTACTTGACTTAATCAAAACATCATGCATCTATCCTTGATAGATCAGATAACTGCTTCATGAACTCTAAATGTGATATCATTAAATGAATGCCTGTTTTTTTCCTAACATACATATGATGTCAGAAACTACAAGGAAAACGTTAATAAGATTTCTCCTCTGATTGTCGTTTCCTTTGTCGCAGGAGGAGAATGAAGGCGCGTGCCCCACCTCCGCCGCTGGCTCCCCAACCTGCCCCACGCCACATCTTCAGAAACACTGTACCTGATGGAGGAGGGACATCAGGCATGGACGCCAAGGAGAACATGCTGAGGCCCACTGTGGATTTACAGCTAACCCTACCACAGGGATATCAGACCTCTGTAACTGAGGATGGCAGGTGAGAGGACAGAAGGGGCACACATTTACTCTGACTGTATCACTCTCTTTCTAGTGTTTTTATATTGCAACCAAATTGTTTTCCTCATGGATGCTGTGTTATTTGACTCCAACATGTCCATCAATCCATCCATATCTACAGGAAATTGTTAATATCTATAAACATGAAGATCTTAGTTATTGCTTAGTTGAGCAATATAATTTTGTTTTCTGACTGTCAATGCTAGTCACCTGACAAACAGTATGAGACCTGTTTGTCTTCTGGGTCAGTTTGGGTTGCTGTGCCAGTGGGCCTTGTCAAAGGGTCCCATTCAAGCGTTGTCCCAGAGAGTTGACAGATGAAGGCTGACCTGCTAATTCTCTCTACCCCTAATGAGATTCTCTCCTTTGAGGCACAAAATCAAAGATGCCTCCCCTAGTACAGAACAACAAGGTGCTCTTCTAATAACCATAGTCAAGCTTTAGGCCAGTAGGCATCTCTGTGCTACTTCTCACTAGAAGTAAAAGTAAGTTGTTTTATTATAAAGGGAACTTTCTAAAGTTAAACATGTAGAATGTTTTGGTAAACGGGCATTTCTGGTAATGGAATATTTGAAATTGCATTTTCAGATGGGCTGTGTTTACAGTAAGGAAATTAGAACCATATACGGTAATAGTTTATATGGTCATAGGCAGAGTGTCATAAATGTACACATACAGTATATCATAAATAGCTGATGCTAAGTAGCACACCCAACCATTACTGCGATCAATTTATTGTGTGAACATGGACAGTTAAACAAGGTGAATTAAGATAAAAATACTTTAAAAATACAGTAAAAACAATAGATAATGTAGTAACATTTGTGTGGCACTGTTATAGGAGAATTGTAGGACTGGTGCTAATGTAATATTACATTCCTGATTGTAGTATTATACTAATATTGTGTCTTTACAGTATAATGTATAGTTTGATTTTCCAGAATTTCAATGTGCACAAAACAACTTAAGGTACGATGTGTAAGAACTAACAAAACTCTCCATCTGTCGAATTCATACTCCAAAAAAACAGCACATATTAGGTCATAACTACTGCTAACTGCTGTTAGCTAGTTAGCTCAGTTAGCCATGCAAGGCAGAGAGGCAGCGACAGCATGTAGAGCTAGACTATTTTTTAGCATTAAGGGTTTGTTTTGAACAAACAACAGTTAGGGATTGTTGGAGTAGTGGAAAACCAAGATGCTTTTGTCGAGTTTTATTTTGTTTCTGTCGAGTTTGAATGAAGTGTGTTCTATGATAACGACAATTAGTTTGGTTTTGTTTATTTATTAGACTAAAAAAGCTTGTGTAACATAGCATAGTAAGAGAAGTGCAACAAGGCAAAGTAAAATCCAGAAAGGGAGTGAAGTCCAAAACACAATCAAACAGGATACTTAGACTCAATAATTGAAACAGGAACCAACCAGGAATCAGGCGAGGAAACAGACTGGCTGGAAGAGAGGGTGAGGTAACATATGAGGATAAGCTTCATGATGTACAATCAAGTGACGTTGACGCTACAAAACATTTCAACAGTGATCCGACGCGGACTGAACAGAACACAGGGATTAAATACAACAGCAAACGAGCAGTGCAGGAGCACAACGAGACATTATGAAACAGAACGGGCAGCAAAACTAGACACACACAGCGAACGCAGATAACTTTAAAACAAAACAGGAAACAGCATAACACTGAAACACGGACTGAATAGACAAAGCACTCAAAGACAAAAACGTAACTTAACACAGACAAGGACCCGAACGTACTTTCATCAAAATGAAGAAATGGATAAGGACAAGAAGAAGACAGACCGACAAAAGGACCAGGATGACTGAAACGGAACACAGAATGCATGAATTACCAAATGGGCAGAACTCAGGACAGGAGCACAGGACCAGGATGAATGAGCATATAAAAGCTAAATGGGGGAAAAAAATTAACTAGTAAATGGAACTAAAACACAGAACCAGGACTAAACACTAAGGCAGGAACTAAAACACAGAACTAAGAAAAGAAAACAGGGAATGAAACTGAAACGGTAATACCGTAAAACTTTATACTAATAGCCGAGTCCCAAATAGCCGCCTACCTCCTTTACTGGCCTGGTGTGGGAACACATTTTGACAAATAAATGTCTGCCTCAATTAAACGCTTGGGCTAGTTTTTATAGAAGTTCTTTGGATGTATAAAACCTCTTAAATCCCACGGGGTTGCCCACTTTAGCTGCTTCTAAGCTGCTTAGATCGTTAATACAAATATTAATGTGTTTTGTGGGGGGTTTTTTGTTTTTTTTTTATAAAAAAAAAATAAATAAACAAATATTAATGTTTAAGCGCATGATCAATATGTCGGTATGGACATGCTACTCATTGTTAGATTCTCCACAATACAACTGTTCAGTTCATTTAACAGAAACAACAAGACCCAAAGTCTAATTCTTATAGATTTAAACTGTTTCATAGTAGTTTCAGTTTTGTGCTAAAGGAATTAAAGGCCTGTCCCAAATAAAGGCAGGGTCAATTCAGTGATTTTAGCAAATAAAAGCCTGTAATGTAGCTTGTCATGATTGGAAAATGTGATGATGTTGAAGTTCAGTGGGAATCAACCAGGGAGGTTAACAGGTGAAAATGTGACATGTATTCAGTACTACACTGGATGATTTCTTTCTGTTGATTATGTTGTTACTTATTTTTGATGAACATGCAATCTGAAAAATCTTCATATAGCTGGGGTAGGAAATGTTCTTTGAAATTCTCCTTACATTCCAACAACAACAAATAAATCAAATGCTCTGACACAAAAAAGGAAAAAATCCAGTACCCGTGGTTGTCACAGGACTGTAATAATCACGGCCAATCACTGGCTTACTTCCCTGTCTACTTACCTACCTGCACTCTGTCCGTGCACTCAGTGCTCGTAAAATGTCTTTTGGGGGAGTGACTTAGGCTGGAGGCCTGACGGGAGAAGGTGGGATTTCTTCGGTTGGATACTTTCAAAATCTAGCTGTCTCTTGCTTGTTGTCCAATGTTGCCTACCCCAGCATTGAGAAGCACAAAACACAGAACACCGGGTCTGTTGATTGCAGATTGTCCTTTTAGTTAGACTATCCATGCAATAGTGATTGTCAATGGTGTCCTTTGTAGTGTTATCTCTCAGTTCTGTCATCTGATCTGGCTGCTTCTAGAAAACACCGGAGACTGGTCTTGGTTTCTTTATCTGAGGATTGACAGGTAGTGCTATAGCCGCCCACCCCTCAGTGCAGACATCAGAACTTCTCCTGTGGCTTGATGGACATAAGTGGTGTCATTATTTCTCTATGCCACTATGTTTTGTCCACTGCCCTTTTATTGCAGGATGCTCTTTAGAGTTTCTGTCTTGATAAACCACACAGATTAAATCTACAGTATATGATAAGTGGCTTCTCTGACTTCTGATGTTTTTGGGCCTTTGTTTTCAATTCTCCTGCAAAAGCTACATAGGTAGCATTTTGCTCTTCATGTCACAATCTGTGCTTTTGCCATTCAATCTACATCAGCTCAATGTTTAAAATCATATCCCTTGTGCCTATCAGTTAGCCATCCACTCTAAGGGCATCAGGTATGAGTGTTGTTGTATGAAGTAATTAAAATTGTCTTTACCATACCTAAAGCTAGATAGGCTTTGTAACCCTATCTTCTCTCCTGCCTCCCTCTCTTTCTCCCTCACTCCTCGTCACCTCCTGTGGTTCTTTCTTCCAAACTCCCTCCCTCTCTTCCCCCCCCTCCCCTCTTTTTCACTTTTTCTCTCTCCTCCCTTCTCTCTCTTTCTCCCTCTCTCAGTAAGGCGCTGATGGACCTGCTGGTCGAGCTGTGTAGCCGCTACCACCTGAATCCTGCACTGCACACCCTGGATCTGCTGTCACCCGAGGGCCACAGTTTGGGGTTCAAGCCCAACGCGCTGCTGGGCTCCCTCAACGTGGCCTGTGTCCTCATCAAGGAGAAAGTTTGGGAGGAGAAAGTGGTGCGCAGACCGGCGCCCAAAGTGCCAGAGGTGAGAAACGGCTTAGCCTGATACTGTGATCTGGATGTTCTTTTTGCCATGTGTGCTTTGTATTTAGGATTTTGTACATGTCACAGCATATTTAAAACCTGCTGAAATTATGCTTGTCAGCTTGGATTCTTCTGGGTTTTAATGGCAGGGACAACTAATATTTGAAAATACGAGTGCAAAATACCCCAAAGCTATTTATGTTTTGTTGTAATTTAGATTAATGTAGTACAGAAGACCAGTGAAAAAGCCGTCAGTATAATAGTTGTGCAGTTTACATGTACTATATGCATAGATCCTTGCCCCATAGCCTTGTGTAATGTTCGTCCCTCCCTTCTCTACCTTTTACTTCTGACCGCTGGCAGGAGGCAAGGCCAGTGAAACCTGTAAGGGCCCATGCTAAGGTAGGAAGCCAGTTGGGATTAAACTGACCTAGTATGACATTGGAGTCAGTTCTTATATGCCGGACTTTCAGTGTTGTGTGCCTTTTTTGTCCATATCAGCTATATTCCCCTCTGTCTTGTTTTTATATCATCTGTTTTTACAGCTCACTTGCCTGATCTGAAGTTATAAATACTTATTTCTATTGAGCATTTGTAACTTTCTCTCCCCCCTTTTCTCTGCCTCTCCTTTGCTCTCCTCCTACAGTTTGAATATTTGATGAGTGCCTTACCTTTAGTTACCATGCATTATTTCTCTGCTCTTCTCAGGACTCACTGGCTGCTCTCTCTCCCTTTGACCTTACCTGTCCTTAGGCCAGAGACTGAGACTATTCCAGACACAGCTGTCAGTCATCCCTCCGTTTTATCCGTCTTTTCATTGTACCACACCAGTGTCAGCAGTTAAAATGCAATTATTTAAGTGTGATATACTGTACTCTACTCACTGTTGTCAGTTTATTAGGTACATCCAGCCAAAATGAATGCAGTCTAATACAACAGCCCTGTAATACATCCTACCTTCATGAAGATGTTGAGGGTTTTGTTGGAACTGTTTGAGAAAAGTGTTGATTTTAACTTAATGATCATTTTGGAGTTATGCTGTTAAATTGTATTGTGTTTCTAATATTAAATCTACATTCTTTAATATGAATGGGGTGGACAAATGTAAGAAACTTGTTTCAGTAAAATGAAATACAATATAGCATCTGTATAACTTGACTTGATAACTTGTTCAATTCAACATAGCAAACTTCAGCCTGATATAACAGTAGCTTGGTGCCTTTTACTGGTACATGAGGAATACAAGAGAAGAAGAAACAATGACAAAGTGAACAGATGGGATTTCAGTTAAATTAAACCCCTTTATAAAGGACTCCTGCTGTTCTTCTCTTATCTATGATTAGTCTGCGGTCTATCAGCAACAGTTTTGACTGTGACACTAAAGGCTTACTGGGGAAGTCTTGTGAAGCCATGTGCTCTGAGTGCTGTCATGTAGTTGAAGCACTTTTCCCTGTAGTGATACATAACATTGAATGTCACTTTACTTGAAATAAAAAAGCCACTGAAGTTGAAGAGCCATTTTATGAATTCTTCAGACTCTGACTTCTGAGTGGCTTGTGTGTTTTTATAGAGGCTGATGTGAACCACTTAATGCTGTACAGTCTATATCACTTCTCTATGACAGATAACTTTGTAGTGTTGACTACCTACACACACACACACACTGACACACACACATCCAAGATCATATGCATGTATGCACACCCAAATGCTCACAGGAATCATCATCTTTAGTCTAATAAATGTTCCTTATTCTGTCAGCAAGCTTGCGTCTTTCCATGTGTGGATGTATTTTTCTGTCTTTGCTCCTCTCCGCACATTTCACATGTTTTGTTCTCAAATATATTTATTGTCAGACAACAACTTGTTCAGTTTACCCATACTGTCATAATCAAATATATCTCATATTTGTTAGGTCAGCCTGTAAGATTTAATTCATCTTAGTCACCTTATTTCTTCGATGAAGGCCAACTTCTTGATCTGAGATGTAGCCAGTGGGACCTCCACTTTGAGTAGCTTTTTACACTCTTGTTAGCTTGCTTATTCACTGCAGTTCAGTTATTTACAAGAAAATATGTTTCTGTGAATGCAGAATGGGAAGATTTCTCCAATGGCCACAACAGTGCCATAATAGCCTTTTATCTCATACGGCTATTAGGCATTTATGTCTAATGTTTCCCACCATTCTCCTCTCTCTGTTTCAGAAAACAGTACGTTTGATGGTGAACTACCACGGCAGCCAGAAGGCAGTGGTACGCGTCAACCCCTTGGTACCACTCCAGACTCTGATACCTGTCATCTGTGACAAGTGTGAATTTGAGCCTGCACATGTCCTGCTCCTGAAGGACAGCGTCAGCCGCCACGAATTATCACTGGACAAATCTCTGACAGAGCTGGGGATCAAGGAGCTCTATGTACACAATCAGAGTCTAGGTAAACCTTAACCACTGTTTTTGTACATTTCATTTTCTGTTTGGGGTTCAGGGGTTTATAAATTACTGAATGTGCAGTGTATATATTGAAAATGAACTTCCCATTAGAGAGCCACATCTTTCAAAAGTAAAATGATAATTTTATAGATCAGGTTTTAATGGGAGAAATTTGTTACTGTTGTATTGTTATTTTGAATTAAATCCCGATATTGGATGAATTAATTAATCAATGAATTAAAAATGAAAAGAGCCCAACCTAATGTTCTGTGGTGGCTAATGTTAGTAAGCTGATTAAAGCAGATAACATATGCAATCATGAATGGCTCATTCAGCCATTTATATATTATGAAATTAACATCATTCCTATGAATATATGTGTGTGTGGGGACAATAAGTGAGCACAAATGCTCACTTGTTTCCACTCTTTAAGAACTGATTTAGGACAGACCCCCATTTCGCAAATTTAGGTGGCCTGTATAGAACAAGCGCATGTGTTGCTTGACTCAGATTAAGCCTGAGACCCTACCATCTACAGAGCACGCTGCCCTGTGGCTGCCCTCCAACCGTTCTGTGGGTGAGCACAGGAGGAAAGAGCATTTTTCTATCAGGAACATAAAGTTTGACTTCAACAGTGTTTAATCAACTTCATCACCTTTTGCCAGATTATATGGTGTACAATCAGAAAAGAGAATAAAAGACATATTGTGCCTAAGCAGGAAGCTAAGGAAGGTATGGATCTCAGGCAAACCCAGCCAATAGCTGGTTATAGCTAATAAAATAACTAATAACTAACCAGCTGCAGGTATAAGCTTGTGTTGTGTTTCTTACTAAATGTATGTTCTTCTAAATGAACCTTGGTAAATACAACATGTCCCTTGGGGGTAGAATAATTACGATTCATCATCCTTTATCTAGTAGGGCGTTTGGTCTAAGATCTGATGTTAGGATTCATTACTTTGGTAACCATAACAGTCCACACCCACTGATATTTATAGATATTGCCCGAGTGTGATCTTAAAGGAGAAGCTTATGGTTTATGGTCATGAAGGATATAAGCAGGAACATTTCGGCCATTATGTAATTTTTATGGTCAGTTGCTGTTATGTAATCGTTATATATTGGTTTTCAACCTTTCACTGTTATTATGAAGGACATGTTACCTGGATCATTAAGAAATCTACAAATTATTTAAGTTGTGTCATGGTTAGTAAATATACACCAAGTGTTTCTTCCTCTGGTTGAACACTATCAGCGGTGCTGCAGTGTTACAAAAGTACAAATACAACAGATGAAATTATTCTTATACTTAAGTGACTTCATGTGTTTATAAACCTTGTCATATTTTCCAGTTCTCCAGCCTAAAATGGCTTCTGCCCCAGCTCTTACCTACTCAGGTATTAGTCATGATAAGTATTGTCTGTCTTATTGTTGCTGGTTTCAACCAAATGTAGCAGTTTAACCCAACATACTGCTGTTTGCTTATTAACCCTGCTTTTGTACTTGGAGATTGTGCGTTGGACATGCATGTTTGCTTGTTAGTCATTGTCTTCAGATAAATTAGTTGTTGGTTTGGTCATTATAATTTTGATACTGATGTTTGTTAACATCATCAATCTCAGTCATTTTGAAATGATTTATTAGAAACTTAGTTTGCCTCTGCTTTTCTCAGAATCCAAGATACCCGGTAGTATAGCTATGTGATTTATTTTTTTTAATGGTTAGTTTACCTTCCCTCCCTGTCCTCGAGCCAACAGTGTTCACGGCACATTCTTACTTACTGCACTATAGACTGTGAAGGTTAGCAGGAGGTTGTATTTGAGAAAATAAATGTGTAGCGCCCTCTGCTGAGAAACTCATTAGATTATTCTGTTCATTTCTTTGTGAATAAAAATATGAGCAGTATGTAGACTATTCCAAAATGTCTTTAAGTGTCCAATAAAATGTTTATCAAGTAATTAATTGGATATCACAGGAATCAAACCAAACTGGCTTACATATGAGAGTGCACTGTAAATTCACAGTATTCTACTGTCATGTCCAACTCCTCTCCTCTTCACTTCCTCCTCTTCTTTTTCTTTTCTTAGACTCCATTTGCTCCAGCACTGCCAGTTTGGGCAGGGCAGAGAAGAAAGGCCTGCTGGGTATCTTCCAGTTCAGCAGGAGGAAAGTCAAGGTAAGACTCAAAGTCTCTTTCGCTGTTTTTTGGCGGTTTGTTGTATTTACAGGGGAAAAAAAGTAATAGTGAAGTTAATATTGGTCATGTATACCCAATATTACATTAGGATTATTGAATTAAGAGCAGCATTCATGCCATTATGCCACAAAGTTTAAAAGTGACTTAAGTGCCATGAGAAATGTGAGGTTGTGTAATTATTTACAAACTAACCTTGAGTAGTAGTAGTGCATGCCATTTATACTTACTTAAACTGATGAAGCTGAGGCAGGCTAAATGCATGGCTGAACAGTTGAATGCTGCATGTTAGCTGTGCCTTCCATTTGCAGACAGAGACAACATCTATGGACATGGATGACTGTGATGATAAAGTCATCCTAAATACAAACACAGAATCCAATGTAAGTATTACTAATAAATCGACACAAGTCCAGATGTGATAAGTGAAGTCAAAGTGGGATTTTGTTTTGAGGCATTCCAATCACATACTAAGGTCTAACACAACAATAGGTACACCTGTACAATATAATACAAACCAGTAACAGCACAAAATACAAACAAACCTCAAACACTACCACATAGTTGGATCAACACTTCTTTGCACTCCCAACACAAACTGGACAAGCTAAACAAAAGTAGTACTTGGGTGTAGGTCAGTAGTATTGGATTTCATCACTGGGTTGGGGGGTTCCTGTTGTTACGTGCATTTCTTGCATGGCTGCTGATACTCTGAAAATGCATTCAGCCCGATGTATAATATAGAAGCATTCTCTGTTAACAGTACATAATGTTTTTTTCAAACAATATCCTGTATGACTAATGCCTACTGTATCTATCTTCATGGTAGATTTTGATCAACCACTATAAATGGCACATTAGAGATGCTATCTCTGCACTATTAAGAAATGTTGATTGGGTGTGTCATGTTGCACAAATGCTGGTTGACAATGTCACTATCATCAAAGCATATCACTTTAGTCAATAGTATAATGACCTTCAAGTTTCCTGGGTGATCAATACATTTCCACAGTATACCAATAACAAAAAAATGTGTCAGCTTCACAAGAATGAACACTCAGGCTCTGACATTTGTAGTTTAAATGTGTAGAGAGTTATAGGTTTAAGCAAAATTTGTTCGATAAATAATAAGTCAATCACTTATTAGTTCTTGTCATTAACAAGAACAGTAAATAACTGGTGGTTATACTTGGTATTTTTTTTTCTATTGTCATCAAGTAATTGTAATGCATCACTTTGTTTTTACTTTTCACATTTAATACTCGCACATGCTTCATAGTTGTTCCTTGTCTCCCAATGGAAGTGGAGAGGGCAAAGCTAGCATGAGCCATAGAGTCACAATTGCCACATTTATAGGAGATGCACTAGGTTGAAATATATAGCTTTTAAGCCCAGAGCCAGCTTTACAGAACAGGACCTTGTTGCTCCTGTACAATCGAATGTTGAGTTGTGTTTATGTGCACTGATGTCCTCCAGATGGCAGCAACTGTCTCCAGTCAGCAGTCTGTTAGGTCCAAAGGGGAGTACTAATGAAGCACTTGCCCCCACTTTTTTTTCTTTCCTACAAGTGAGCACTGAATAATAAAATGGCTATAGGGAATAGTGTTATATAGTAATATAGCTTTTATCCTACAGTCACCATGGATGAGGGAGTGTACAGTCTGTGCCCTTTGACAACCATGGTCCCAGAAGCAACCTATATGACTGATCAACTTAGAGGAGATTTGAGGAGAATAAAAACTGGAATTTCAAAAATGTTGGTAGATAGGAAGATTTGAACAAATATCATTCAGCTGAAAATAAAGATTGATTAAGGAATTTTTGATCATAAAAAAGACTAACAACTAAAATTGTCTGGAATTTTACCGAAATATTTACCCCCTACATCCACTCTAGTGTGTGTGTTTGAAGCGTTCATCTATGTTAAAACAGATGTACATTTAGATGCTGCATTAAGCAGCTCTCTACCTGTTATATGCATAACTCAATCACGTTAATTTGATTTTGAAGCCATGAACCTCAGTGCAGCTGCAGCCACCATGGCTCACCCCAGATCAATATGGCGTTTGATTGTATTAGCTAGAAAAACGCTGCCTGGCTCACTCTGCTTCACTCCGACTTCTCTAACCTTCTTCTTCTTTGTTCTCAGGGTTTCCTTTTACAGCGACCATCTGGCTTTCCAACGTTGAATCATTTTCATTGTCACCGTTATCATTTATTAAGTAATGTGTGCGTCGGTGCTTCTGACCACACATTTTCCTTTTGAAAGAAATTACAAAAATTAATACTTGAAAATGAAAAGGGGGAAAAGATGGTAACAGGGTATTAATTAAACTAATATATACAGAGGATGTAATTTGCTGTGATGTGAAATTTCTAGAATATATTTAAAACACTGAAATCTATTGAAGACAGGGGGAGCTCATTTTTATTTATTCATATTGCTATGCCTCAGCCATGCCTGCCTTTCCACTGAGCTTTAATGCAATGTTTCTCAACCAGGGACTGTTATCAGACCACACACATGCATTTGTACACACAAGCAAGCACACACATATAGACACACAGTGTTATCACCCTGAAGTGATCAGATTACCCCACCTTAGCTACATTAGCACTAAAAGCCCAGCCTCTTATCTCTTAATTGTTCATTAGGGGCTAAGATACTGTGTGTGTGTGTGTGTCGGGGTGTGTGGTCTTAAAACACTAACATGATCTGAGAGCATCATGTTATAGCAAAGTGCTGATTCTGAAGCAAACTGACTTAGTAAAAGTAGCATATTGTCCCTAACCACCCACTTTTAGGTATAGGAGTTAAACAATATCATCGACTTTATTAGGAAGGTCTTCCTATCTGTCCAAATCTCCTAAATTCATACAAACTTCTTATGGTATTCACAATTGTCTAAGATGAAATTTTACGAGTTGTGATGTGTTTGCTGTTCATTTTTTGGAGGATGGTTAAACCTGCTGGGTGGAACTTTTGTCTCCCTTCTGGCAATGAGAGTGATTACACAAACATCTTCTGAGATTCAGAAATAGTTACAAACATACAGAGACATAACCACAGTTCCAAGACAACGATCCATTTTTTAAGTAGAGTAAATGAAATGGCTACATAACCTTCTTCAAATATTTTACAAATACCAGCCTGCCCAAGAGCAGTCTTCCATCAGATATTTGTCTGATGTGGAAAAGCTACACCAATGGTAATCTGTGTCCTCACCGTCGGTTGCTTTCTTTTTTTGACTGTAATCGTTCCTCTGAACTACAAGTTTCTTTTTTATCTTGAACATCAGAAACTTTTCTTGGATGCTTCTTAGGTTTTTCCGCCATAGGATCTGCCATACTCCTAGTTGCTGAAACCTATTCCATAGTTACGGTCGCGCCAGAGCCATTTAGAAAGAGAAAGAGAGAGTGGGGTCATCTCTGTTCAATTTACCATGGACTCCATTTACATATACATTAATTTGCCCAATAAAAACATGATTATACATGAAAAGATTTTACAGAAAGTGGAGGTTTTCTAGGATTTTTCTATTTATCAATACTCTACTATGAAGATGCATTTTAAGTAAATGGATATCACTATTGTGGTTACAAGTACAAATGTGTACAATTGTGACCTTACCCAGCCAGCAGCAGTGCTGGTCAGAGGTGAAACGGACATTCATCCAGAGAGGGCAGTGAAAGACTGCTTTTCTGCCTGGTGTTATTCTGTAGTATTTCATAAACCCAAACAATCATGACTCTATATATATATATATATATCATTTTGTCTTCCTCAATAACTTATATTTAGTTAAGCCTGTAAATCTTCTAAATATATAGAAAACTGCTTGTCACAAGTTTTCCTCTATGCTGAAGTTAGACTGACTTTCAGTGTTATTAGTATGGAGTGAAATTTTAATAGACCTCAGTATATTATAGTAGGATCAATCCCTGAAGCACTTAAAAGGCATTCCCCAGAGATACAGTTTGAGTCATGTTACTTATGCAGAAGTTATGCAGACTTTGTTCAGTAGGTTCCATAGGTTTAGTTACGAACTTTGTAATTATGAGAACAGTGTGAGTTTGGGTCCTTATCCCTGAAATGATGCAGTACATTTTGCTACAGTTAAGTTTTGCTCTCTGACTGTTTTGACAGCTTTCAAATTCTTTACCAGAGGGAAGGAGTAGGAGAGAGCAGGTGAAAAAGTCAGACAGAGTTCACGTGAATTTTCTGCTTTGAAATTATATTTTGGTGAGGTGAAAACAAGGTTGTTTTTTGTAGGATTTCAAATGGAAATCACATCAATCCTTCACATTTCTTTTTTGTTCTGACAGCCTCCACCTACCATCTACCCCACCTCCCCCTTTCCCTACTCCTACCCCTGTCAGTCACATAGCACAGTGAAAAACTGACCCAATAAAATACTATTTTGCAACAGTAAAAACATATTTTGACATCGGTAAAATATCCCCAATGTGAAGAAAGCTGCTCTCCTCAAGGCCTCTTTTTAGAAGTACTGTTCCTTTCTCATCAATCCCCACTGTGAGAAGTTCTAACCTTGGGTCCAATTAATTCTAATGACCTGGACTTAATGTTCCTTTTTGCTCAGCTTTTATGCTGTATCCCGGCATTGTCTGAACGCATCAATTAATCTGCTTTTAAACACTTTTCTTTTCTTAGATCATGGGGATATGAGGTGTGGTTTGGTTTCCGCATGGTGCCAAGGCTCTGTACCAAGCTGAGCCACGGGGAGATTCAGATTTTCAGGAGCACTTTGGGCTCTCTTTGATCACATATTGGAAACCATTTTTCTGTTCCAATGCTTCAGTCATGAGCAGCCAACCTTTGAAAATGCGCTGGCACTTACAACTTGGTCTAATAAATTTGGCAATAATTACAATAATTGTTGTGACTGAAGAATGCACTATATGATTAGTGATTGCAGCATACTCACTTGATTGATATCAAATTATCCTTAAAGCTCTTATACATTTATTTACTTCCATTAATCAAGTCTGACCTCACTTCCTTTATTTTTGACATCTCCCACAGGGTCTGTCCACAGGTGTCTCCAGCATAGAAGATCGGCCCAGCACCTTGGGCCAGTCTCAGTCCGTCATGAACTTACCCAGGATGTCTCCCAAGGCTGAGGCCAAGAAGAGGAGAGCCCCAGCACTTCCCGGGGCTCCAACACCCACCATGGGAAACACTAGCATTGAGGGCTATCAGGTGAGGGGAAAAAAGAGCTGTTGGTTAGATTTACAAATATCGATTATATGATGCATATTTATAATTTCCAGTTATTTACATTGTGACATATTGGGTTTGAAATTCTGACTTTTGCTCCACGTACATCCAGTGTGGTAAAAGCACTAATTCAGACCTGCATACACAAAATTTCACATGGCACACTGCAAGCAGATTATTGTATGAAGACATACACACATACACACATGAATAAAATGAAAAAATATACATATTGGGATTTTAATGATGCACATTTTTTTGTCTTAGACAAGGTCCATTTATGTAAAATATCAGAATACCTCAGCTTTCAGGATTGACCTAAAGCATGACATCTGTAAGCTGCAATCTGTTTGATGCAGTCTTACTTGTTTTGACCTGAGAGTCAGCGCCTCAATGTCAGAGTGACCTGAATCATCTACATTAGAATAACAGCTCCCTGCAGTCTCATTATAGTGTTATGGAAGCATTCTGGGAAATGTTGTTTAGCAACCAACATCCTTCCTTCCCCCCTCTGATAAGTTGTGTTTATTCGGAGGAGCTAGTGTTGTTAATGTATGTTATTGAGAGGAAATTTGGTTCTCAGGACGGCATGGAACATGGTGTTATCTTCTTTAGCTTAATTACTTAAACTGAACTGAGCGCGGAGGAACGGAAAACATTTCTGAGAAATGTTGTGTGATATAAGCTACTGTCGGTAGCACAAGCCTGAATGATCTGATACACAGTGATTCTTGCTCTTAAAAAATATATATGTAATAAGTTTAGCATCAAAAGCAGTAAAGATGGACAATCATTAAATAATGGTACAAAGCACACAGGTCGTAATTCATGTCAGTTTAAGTTTATCCCCATCTTTAACTTAACTTGGGTAAACTTCATTAAACAGAGGCCTAGTAAACCAAGATACTGTCTGTCCACTGAAGTTATTAATGGTAGAGCAAGTTTAACCATCACGTTCCTACCAGTGGACTGTTCGAGATTGTTTAAATGTGTCCTTCCTGTATGCTATTCCTTTTAACTTAGAGATGTTTGGTGTTATTTCTTTTCTTCTTTTTTTTTTTCCAACCTGTCCTGCCCAGCAGCCTGGTATAGAGTATGATGACCTTGATACCATATTGTGCCAGACAGATTTTACTTTAACAAGAGAGTATTAATATACTCCTTTGTCTGTTTTATTATTTATTTAATTATGTATTGATTTGTCACCGGGCCGGACAGGGGGCAGACACGGGGATGGGGGGGCACAAACAGACAGCACAGAGAAAGGACCTGTAAGAGAAGGGGGAAAGGGGGATGGAAGGTGGGGACAACAGGGAAAAGCTGTGGGAAACACCAATTGCAGAAAGAAACGAAACCTGCAATAGAACAGAGAGGGGGGCTTGGGGAGGAGAAAAACAACAACAAACAAACACAAACAAAAACAAACAATAAAAATAATAATAATAATAGTAAAAGACAACCAGCCGAACAGCAGCAATAAACAGCTGACATAGTAAGACAACTAAAAGAAAAATGAAAACAAGAAACAGTCACACACACTAAATAAGCAACACAGCACAGCCACGAGAGCTGGAATAATAATTAATTTAAATAAGTAACTGAAAGAAAAGCATCAGGAATAATTCTACCAGGGACAACCTACATTTGTTTGTGTCTGTGTGTGTCTGTGTGCGTGTGGGTGAATGTGTCTGTATGTGTGTGTGTGTACATGTGTGTGCGCATAAGCCTGTTAAAGAATGTAGTTGTTAGTGAGAGTGGGGCGCCACGACTTTTCTTCTTGATGTGCATTGCAAATCTATGAAGAAGCTCCTTTTAGCTGTTGTGCTTGTTTTTAGTACCGCAAATTATAGTTGTGGTGAGGGAGACAGTAATTTATCTGTCCACCTGTCAGATGAAGAGTTGCGACAGACACCAGAGGTGAAATACTGAGACACCACTGGGAGTCACAAGGACAGCCTCACGGAAGGGTCGGGGAAAGTCATCTACGGACTTGATGGCTGGTCTAATAATAGATTTCTCCATCTCGCTCTTATGCCTTCTCTGAACTGTCACCCTGTCTGAACACAAAGTCTCATGTCTTTTTAATGCACGTCAACACATTGCAAGGTCACACACTGCAGTGCAGGACACCTCATGTTTCACCTCTCTATTTTCTAGTGCAGCTTTTTGAGCAGGGAGATTGAAGACGGGCCGTCGATGTGTTCTGCCTGTCTTATCAACAGTTCAGCCTCAGGCCAACAAGTGATTTGAGTGAGTTTTGTATATCTTAAACAGAATAGCAACACAGCTGTAAAAAGTGGAACCTCAATATTGATTTCATGTACATTTTTAACAGTTAAGTGGTCACCCAACTGACTGATAGATGAATGAATGGATGAGAAGTATAAGTTATTTATTGATTTGTTTGATATTGCTTCATATGTGCGTAAATGTGATTAGTCATCTGAGGACACAGCAGAGGTGTCAGGTGTTCAAAGATTAGCAGCTTGCCTGTCCTGTTTTTGTTGTGTGAATGTGATTAGGAAGGATTTAGCTTCATGACAGTGAAGGGTTTCATAGCAGCCAGGTCTTATCAGGATCGTTTTTCAGTGGCCGTGGTATTAAAGAGCTCTGCATGACTTGGATCTGTGGAACAATTATACATGCCAAATCAAATCACATTGCAATCAGAATCCAAGTTGTACTTTCACATTTATGTGAAATTTGGCATTGTAGTTGCTGCTGGCAGTTTTTAATCTACACTAGGAGAAATGTTGCTTGTCAGTAGATGAGCGCATCGTCTTCAAATAATTCAAGCTCCAGTGAAAACAGATGTCACACTATACTTAAAAACATAATAGTTCAGATACAGGTTTGTACACAAGAGATGGAAGCTGGCCTGGCACAACTCACACACAATTTATCACCAAATGTGGAGTTTGTTTTTGTTGTATTTTTCATGTTTGGTTTTGCTGGCTCAGACTTAATAGCAGGTCATATGAGGACAGCTCTCTATGATGAGTGTCCTCATTACAGACCTCCCTCTGTGCCGAACAAGCTTAGGTGGTCAACTAATTGCCACTTGCAAGGCACAGTAATGGATGTTGACATCATAATACAAGCTATAAGGATGATGAGATTGTTTTAACGAAGCTAAATGTTTCAAATAGCCTTTGGAGAGGAAGAGATCACTAAAGGCCGTCATTAAAATCACAGAAGGAACATAGTTAGATTAATATCACTGGCAAAATTAGGAGGGTCAGAATGTCTTTATAGTCATCTGTGGAAATATTGGTGAAATTCAGGTCCACATTTTCACGCAAGATAAACAACTTCTGTGTCTGTATCATAATTCTTTTAGTGAAAATGAAAATTTTGACGCAAAAATGATCACTCCCACTAATTGTAAATCATATCGCAAATCATAATATCTGTCAAAATAATCGCAATATGATTTGATTTTACCATATCATGCAGCCCTAGTTCCTATACAGTTGTGAGAGTGGGAATAGCATAGACACTAAAATCAGACGACAAAGTGTTCCAGGAAGAGTTGAAAGTCATCTTTAACTGTAGGAAAATGATGTTTTCACATTCTGGAGTAGAGAAATTTACCGTTTTGTTTCTTCATCTTAACAATCAACAATCTGTGTCTCTCTTTATGAGAGCAGCAGTGAATTAAATTATGTTTTGGAACATTGAGTTCAGAGAAGCACAGCGTTGTTTTGGGTTTTTATTTTCCAGCAGTGATAGGAAATCTGTTGTGGTTTGGAAAGGAAGCCATGTCTACATTGCCTCTTGTGATAAAGGAGTTCAGATAAATTCTGAGCTTTCTGCTTCACTGCTCAGTAACAGAAAGTGCGCTTTGAGTAATGGCATTTGTGCTTGTGTGCGTTGTGTCACAGAGAGAGTCTGAAAGTCAAAGGAAGGTAACATCAGGTCTTACAAGGGCTTGACATGTGTGTATTTCAGTTATGCTACATTAACAATGTATATACTTTGGGATCGTATTTCCAAAATGTGGTACAGGATGAAATATGGTTGCCGTGCCCTAAGCGCCATACTCACCCTGCAGTAGGAGGACACCACAGGGGGAAAGTTCAACAGAGGACAAGCGGCATTAAAGAATAGAGGTGGCAGTAAGCAGGCTGTCTGTGAGTCTCTGAGAAAAGTCTACACATGTTCTAAAATGGATTACCTACACCTAAATATGGACTTTCAGCTTTTCTTGTGCTTTCACAATTCCTACATTTAAACTTACATTTTTAAACTCCTGTCACCCAATGGCAAAGCAAATGTATTTTGCATTTCTGCTTCCATTAAACACTAACAAATCCCACCAGACTGTCCAGAAATTAGGAGATTGGCAGAATTACATTTATGTACACGTGGAAAAACTTTAAGCTTGACTTAGCCAAGTCAAGCTTGGTACAATACGGTGCAAAACCATTTCTTGTTCTACAGAGGTTTCTTGTGAAACCTAAAGCCAGGGAAGGGTGACATGAGCCAGAGAGAAGAGGAAAGACATTTGGACTAAGTCATGATTGACATCACATCTGTTTCCCGAAGTGAACACTGATGTGGGAATGAAAATGTGATGAGTGTCTCATGAAAAAATGAACCATGGTAGCAGAAACACTGCTGCAACTGAATGAGATTACATTTCTCAAGGGAAATCCAGTTGTCAAATGTGACAAAGAATTGACCAAGACAGATCTGTTGTTATGTGATTGCTGATGAGATCTTAATTATGGCAGTTTGCACTACTTTAAGGGACAGAAATATAGTTTTAAGTATTTTCCAAAGTGTGTGTGTGTGTACTTTGTGGGTATTCAGTTGTGCGCGTGTTTTAAACAATATCACAATATTCTTCCCAAAACTGTCCTCACAGTTTTCTGTGTTACATGAATAAGTTTTTGTGCATGCTGCATTCCTGTCTGTGTGGCTTCTTGATTGATCAAGCTAGCAATGTATTTCTTCCAGATGATTTGTCACATTGCAAA